ACACCCACACCCACACCCACACCCACACCCACACCCTAAGGAAACAATAAGTTTTCGGTGTATTGAACATTGAGTGGTATGAAATAAAATGAGCTTGTGATATGGCAATGATTGGGAGAGTAACATATTCACATGTGTTAGTGGGATTGAAGGATCGACTATCGCACTAGCGTAACCTATATCTGAGGCTTTGCCACAGTGTGGGTATGAGGTGTAGGTGTAAGGTAGAAGAATATCAACCCGCTCAGGCACATACTTATACCGGCACCCACACCACAAAGTGTTCCTAATATCCAAATTCAAGTTTAAGTCAATGCGACATGATTGGCATCTTGGGAATGGGTGCGGTTGTGGGTTTATGACTCTCTTCAACAAAACCCATACCGACTTTCACACCCACACCCAATTCTGTATGTAAAACTGTATATAAAACACTAGATTATCCGTTCTTATAGTCTAAAATGAACGGTGTTTCCTCAAAGCATGAGTCGAACCCTTATAAAAGGCTTTTCTGCGCATTGCCAACTTATCAAGTACTTTTGCACAAATGATGAAAAAGTTATTTTTAGTGGATTACAGTTAGTATACCAATTAAAAAAAGGTGCGTGCCTGTTTAAAATAATAATGATGCATTGCTTGAAAAGTCAAGTTTTTTTTATATCAGAGATACAATAATTAAGAATGAGTTCATGTTTGGACATTTTGATCATCAAAATTTTGGTTTCAAATAAGATGTATGCGATACTCGAAACCAGCACAAAAAGCTGAATCGAATAACATAGATCGTATTACAAAATATTTTTCATCGAAATTCGATCCCTACTTCTTCTATGGCTCATTCGAAGTGATTTCATCGGAGTGCTCGCTCGGATCGAATTTCGATGAAAAATATTTTGTAATAAAATCTATGTTATTCGATTCAATTTTTTATGGTGATTTTAAATATCACATGAGTTTTATTTGAAAACAAAAGTTTGATGATCCAAATGTCAAAACATGAGCGCATCTTAATTATTTTGAATTTTCTTCAGTGAAAGCAAACTGTCAAATGCGTAACGTACTATGTTTCCTATGTAACTCGATGAGTTCTACTCACATAAAACAAACACAAGAAAAATAAATTTCTGCTTTAACCCTTTCTTGCCTTTGGCTAAACCTGAGGGTTCGAAAGGGCGATTCGCTGAATAACAATAATCTTATGATACCTAGTGTACGTAGGGTGTGGGTGCGTGCGGGTGTGGGTGTAGTTTTCTTTTAACTCATACCCACTCACACCCACACCCTGGATATAAAACCCTTTCGTTAATGTCTCATAGTTAAAAGAATCAATTTTTTATAAAATTGTATTTATAAATACCATAGGGCAAGAAAGGATTAATTTTGAATTAGCCCCACCTAACAAGGTTAGAGGTATAACTGTATAGGTATAAGGATATAGCCAAACGAGTATAGCCATATGGATATAGGTATACAGGTATAGTCATACGGGCATAGGTATAAGAATACAGTCTTAAAAATACAGCTGTAGGAATGTAGTTATGCGACATAGGCGTAAGGATTTAGATATTGAGGTACCAGCATTCCGATCTAGTTCGTGCGCTATAGTCCTTGTAGTGTAGCGAGAACGTAGGTGGATTTGTAATAATTGGTGTGAATTTTGATCGATTTCTGATCGATTCTTTAATTGATTCTGAATCAATTAATAATCGATTATAATCATACACTTGTAATCGATTATTAATCGATTAGGAATCAATTAAAATCAGCCTTAATCAATTTTAAACGAGTAGTATTGTAGAATAACTGTTTCTGCTGCTATAATCGATTATGGCTAATTATAATCGATTTTTAATCAATGAAAAATCGCTCAGGAATCGATTCGTCATCGGTTAGCGGCGTATGATTATAATCGCTTTTTCAGCAAATTGTAATCGATTTTAATTTGATTTTTTCCGTATTTTTTTACATGAGATGGATATTGCTGCCTTAGTGTTATTCACTTAGATTTTCGTTGGATACAATTGAAAGCGTCTCAGTTTCGTTCGATGAATTTATAAGAAAACGTATCATAGACACACGCATGTCATTATATACAAGGACATTGATGCGAATATCAATATTCGCATTCATGTGCATCCTTTTCAAACTTTCGATACTAACTCTGTTGAGGACTGCGAAACAGTATACAATACTGAAACAGCTGAATATTCAATTGAGGTTCAAGCGAGTCACGTAGACGAGCGTTACATGTATCTATATATGTATAAGCGAAAGGCGTCATGTATTTACTTTCGGAATTTGTTTTAGATAACTACTAACAAAACAAGTCTATTTTTCGTGTATACTATAAAACAGGATCAACTCTGCTTTATTAGATTATTCTTTCGATTTTGATAATATTTGTTTTGGATTAAATATCAAGTGATTCGATAAAAGCTGAGAGCATCATTGATGTATACCGTAGAGAGCTCTTTTATCTCCGGTACTGTCAAATTTGAATTCAACTATTCAACAATTAGAACAAGCAGCCACTATCGTGATTTCACCATGCATCTTAATACCGATTCTCTTCTAGAGTCATCTAGAAGTTGAACATTCGGTTTTCTGTTGTAACCCTTTGATTATGATGGAATAGAACAATGCCACCTGATGATTGCTCGTAGCGAGGCATGAAATCGCGATAGTGGCTGCTAGTTCAATTTGCAGTCATGCAATATTAACACTGGTTCTCTTCTAGTTCTCGAACTAGGAGTTGAACATTCGGTTTTCTGTTGTAACCTCTTAAGGTTATAATTGAATAGAACAATGCCACTTGATGAGTCCCTTCAACAAGGATGAAATCGCGATCGTGCCTGCTTGTTCTATATGTAAATATTATGAAAAAAATTATATAAACAATTCACATAAAACACAGGACAGGATGCAGGACGAACCCGCGCCGTCCAGTCCTGTGCTCACCTCTGATATTAATCCGAGTTGATGTTTTTTCTGAATCAGAAGACACGCCGAAATGCATCATATGAAAATGAGAGAAGAGAACAGAGAAATATTTGCCAACAATCAACAGAAAAAGATGAGAACACATATGTAATAACACATATGAATTATATTTTCGACTGACCTTACTCGAATCAATCTTCCTCCTTTCATACGTTTAACTCATTCGATCTCTCACCAACATAATTGAGCGAGAAAGCGACGAAACGAATGCATAACAAAACGAAAAGAAAGTGAGTGATATAACATATGTGTAGAAAACAAAACAACACAAGAGAAAACAGCGTAAAAAGAACACGAAAAAAAATGAGGAAGAGTTGACTTTAACATAACCCTATCACTCACTGAAGAATATCAATACTTTTCGATGACGAAGTAATGTATAAGCTGCCAAGGTTTGTTTTCAGACAGTTCTGCAATGAGAGAACGAGAAACGGTGTTTTTAGCTCACTTCTCCACAATAATTTCATTATAAAAACATAGCACAATCTAGGGTGTGGGTGTGGATGTGGGTGGGTGTGGGTGGGTGTGGGTGTGGGTGTGTGGGTGTGGGTGTGGGTGTGGGTGTGGGTGTGGGTGTGGTGTGGGTGTGGGTGCGGGTGTGAGTGTAGATTCAGGTGTCGGTGTGAACTAAAAGATGATCCACGCCCACACCTACACTCACACCCACACCCACACCCACACCCACACCCACCCCACACCCGCACCCTAAAGCGAATCTTTCAAAATCAGCAGCAGCCATTATTCCAACTGTTGTTGAATATCGTATGTATGACTGACGCACCAGTAAACTATTCTATTTAGAATGTTTTATTTTAATAATAAGGATCTAATATGAGTAAAACACGGCGACAAAATACACCTGTGATAGCATCAACTGCTATGTTCGATATTCCACAATTTTATCAGCAAACACTTTTGCCCAAACGATTCCTATTAATAGATGTATTTCTAAAACGTGGTAAACATCGAATTTTAGTCTTTTCAAGCGATCAACAATTACAGTTACTATTTGAAAGTGAAATCATTTTTATAGATGGTACATTTGATATTACACCAGCTCCATTTAGACAAGTGTACTTGACACATGCTCATAAATTTGATCAAGGCACGTTATAAGTCATTTTTAGTATAATAAATGCTTATATTTGCACGTGTATATTGTAGGTTTATCAGTTGCATTTTGTCTTTTACCTAATAAACGTGCGAAAACATACACAGAATTATTTGAACGGCTAAAAGAACAGGCAAACATTATGGGTAAAATCTTTAATCCAAAATGTATCGTTACTGATTATGAACCTGGCTTGATGCGTATCGTAGAACAAGAAGTAAGTGCTTCAACCTCAATTATACTCGTTGAACATGTTTAAAATACTGTTCTTGTTTTAGTTTCCTATAGCCATTCACTCTGGATGCTTGTTTCACTTCAATCAAGCGGTTCATAGAAAAATTACAGATCTAGGTTTGGCCAATGATTACTTGAACAATGAAACAATTCGTGATCAATGTCGTCAACTCATGGCATTAAGTCTAATGCCGATTGAAGAGGTTCAGAATCAATTTATACGTTTAGAAATGATCATGCCAGGAAAATTAGCTGATTTATTATTATATTTTAAAAATCAATGGGTTAATGGTGTTGTTCCTATTCAAATGTGGAATTTTCATCAGGTCGACCATAGAACAAATAATACTTCAGAAGGTGAGTACATTACTATTTTTCATACTTTTCATTGCTAAGCTCTATCATTTATTATTTCAGCTTATAATCTTCGATTTTCAACTCGATTATCAAAGAAACACCCGAATATTTGGAGCTTTATTCATTTGATTCGGCAAGAACATATTCGTTTCGAACATATTTCAATTCAACTTGATGCTGGTGCATCTGCACCGAAACAATCAACAAAAACAAAAGCTTTCCAATTAAGACTTGATACTTTGTACAACAGATTTCTCAAGAAGCAAATAGATGCCAAGAAACTATTGTCAAGTTTATCGTTACTAATTAATTGAGAAGAAAAACAAAGAGCATTTAATAATATTCTGAACGTTCTCTTGGTCTTTCATTTTTAAATTAATAAAGCATATAATCTATCATACATTACACGAACAGATCAATCATTTCGACATTTTCCTTTTCGATATTTTCCTTTTCTGTTTTTTTTCGACATTTTCTCTCTTTCGACGTTTTCCATCAAGACCGTACAGAATATATTCGGTTTTATAGTCTGCCACAATACATGAACCTAGAAGAACTCGAGCAATGGTGTGGTACAGTATCAAAACGACAAAATGGTGATATTATGGTTCGAAATATTCGTCTACCAAATCATGTTTTCGAAAGGACAAAAATATCGTTTTCAAGTGGAGAAGCAATATTGTGGTCTGGCGATTTCTTTTAATCTAAATACTTGTTAATGGCTACCTAAAACAATTTACTTTTCTTTGTGTGTACTTACTTTATTGAAATGTAGATTGAAGTAAAAAGCAGAAACTCGATCTCTTTGAGCAGAAAATGAGAGTATGGGTGTGAGTATGAGTATATATTTGAAGAGAATACAGATATCCACCTCCACCATTCCCACCTTCCATTTCATTAGTTTCTAACGGTGACTCGTCATTCAACTTAAATATTCTTGTTATCGTCTTGTATATGATTCAGTACAGTTTGCTAATATTTGAAAATATTCCGCTTCAGCTATTTCTGTCTATCCAACTGATAAAGTAAAATATGAGCTGAATCAAGCTTAACCAATATCCCATTACTAAGCACTTACAATAACAAATCTATATATACATTTCTAAAATAATATCCAACTACGATACCATGATACAAACCATCATCAAAAATGAATTCATTCGCTCTATAAAAAAAGTTTTTCAATCATTTTATAATTGTCGTGTTCTTTTTTGTTACTTAAACATTATCTACTTTAACAGTGATTTCATCAATGACAATAATTTTAGTCTTTTTCCATATGTAGCTCTCGCTAAACATACCAGTTGTTTTTGACCAACACTCAAATTAGATCCACTTTCACTTACTTATGAATGAAGACCATTGAACATCATATATGTTACTAAGTTTTTCAAATTGTATGTATCTCACCAAAACATAAAACTAATCAATTACTGACAGACTTGTTCAAGTGCAGTGCATTCCATATCTCAGGATCTGAATGAAGACCAAACTTACCATCCAATATTGGCTATATAACAATATTATCAATGATAATGTGATCGTGAACAAACTTAAACATTCGAAAAAGAGTCTGAATCAATGAAATTTTATCAGCACTTGTTCTTCCAACAATACACATTTTGTCACCAAGATAAAATTATTAATAAAATATGATACTTTAGAATGCGACTAAGGAATATTTTCAAAAACAATATGACCTTGTGATGGTTGATATTTGGCTGGTGGTTGAGTAGATAGTTCTGAATCAAGTGAACAAAATATTCAAGTACTTATTCAACTGACATCATTTGAGTTTCAACTTCGATTGATTGTTTAGAGAATAAACAGAATTTTATAGACGAAAACAAACTGTACATTTTATTTTTGAAGATCTAACTTGATGTTTTATGGAGAGTACAATAATCAAGACAGTAAATATTAAACATATTTGATCGAAATGTATTACTGATCATCTCTATTTAATATTGCAATCAAATAATTGATATTATGTATTATTATCAAAATGATAATGAAATTCTTTAAAACAAATATATTCACCATGATTAGATTGAACAACTTTGAGTTCATAAATAGTTTATGTTACTTGTAAATAGATAGGTAGACGTCAGCATCAGTCTGTTATTAGTGATACTAATTAATTTCTTAAACATTCCTTCACTACTCTCGAACAAAACTAAATACAAGATGTTTAGATATATATTTGAAAAGAGTACAAGATTTCTGATCGTAATCATGAGCAAACATTTAGTCTAGATACTTTTGCCTACTCACTAGTAGTATGATGATCAGATTTGCATATTTTATGCCATGAAGATGTACTTCATAATCAATGAATTAAACTACATAGTTAGTTTCAACGGTGAGTTTTGAAATTTCATTGATGTTTCTTACTTTTTCATTCAGAATGTAACTGAAACCTTTTTTTGTGAATTAGAACGACTATTTCAAAATTTTGAAAATAATACAGATGAAACGATGTTTCCGGTAAAAAAAAATCGGTGGTAAAATTAGAGCTCAACGTTGAGCTAGTCCATTTGTTCAACAAATTACTAATAAAAGTCAATAGACAGAATTATCTCAAAATGCATTTAAAAGTTGAAGTGAACCATTTTACTAAACGCAAAATTAAGTTAAGTTTTATTACTTGACACTTGATATTAAGTTGAAGTAATTAGACTAGATAAATATCTTTTGATTTTCGGTTTTTCTTTATTCGAATACAATCTCAGCATAGTGTTGCCAGAAGCTATTTAAGAGAGAACTCCTGCTTACTCCCTGATAAATTCTGATAAAAATATACTTTGTCCTTATAATCATTGAGAAGATTCTCTTTGTAGAAAGTTTTATTGATGATTGAATCAAAGATCTACGAAAAGAATGTTTTAGCATATACAAAATTTCTGTCGCACTCGATACGCCCAAATTACTACTATGAGAATATAGCCAAGCAGTCAAAAAAATAGGTAATTCTTGTTAAAAGAGTAGCGTGTAGTGTATCGACTGTCAAAGCCAAAAACTTGATCTACGTACTATAGAAGAAAATTGTTTGAATACGATAAAATATGTGAAAATTGATATACCAACAAGAAACGGCTATCAATTAGCATGTTAGAGTCATGGTCTTTACTTTACTAGATAGAGCACGAAAACTTGTCTAAATGGTAAAACGATAACGAAATTTCGATCTTTAGCTTCCGAAAAAGAAGCTCCAACTTTTGTTCAAGTTTTTTTATATGCCACTAATTGATTATCGTTCTTAATTAAAGAACTTTACCACTTATCTACTTCTGTTTTCAATCAAGTCCTCTTTTCGACATTAGTCACCTAATCTATAGTAAAATTAGATCGATTTTAGTGGATTGTAGTGAATTTCTGGTCACGTGAATGCCATTGATTCAAATTATTTATGTGTTTTTACGTATAAAAAAAGTTCTGAGATGAATTCATTTCTTTTTTCACATTGAAGATAAGTAAAGAAAGTGATAAGACGTTGTCAGTTGAATGTAAGCGAAACACTCCATTTTCTATTCCTTTCCACAGAATACGATTCTTCTATTTCAAAAGACGGCCGAAAAATAAAAGATAAGTTATAATATTTGAGTAATAAGCATAACCCCTTTTCTTTTGTATTGTAACCTTTCTTCGCTTTCATTATACAATAGATACAATACAAAGATGGCTAATCTATCATTTTAGAGGCACTTTTTAACAACTCCAGCAAGTGCGTTATTTCATGACTCATTCCTTGATTTCTTTTCTCCATTAGTGATATGCTGAGCAGAACGATCGGTTGCTAGACGATCATTCGTGAGATTTCTATACATACGAATGGCGTGCGGTACTGAACAACACAGATGTTTCAAAATGTTCTATGTTAGCAAAAATTCATAAATGCAAATTTTTAGACTGAGAATCTTTTGCTTTATGAAGATATAATTTTTTTTTAAAGTTAAAAGAAGTTTGAAATTTTCGAAAAAATATCACTTTGCATATCCTCACCCGTGATAAAATAGCATCGTCAAAAAGTGTTTTAGCTTGTAACTTTCAGGGTTAAAATGATCTAGCAACACTCTAAAACAATGTCCATCTAGGGCTATAGTAACCATTTCCACAGGGCAAAATCGTCGACATTTTAATGATCCTTCAATCGCGTTCTCGGCGTGTTTTATAACTAAACAACAGTCTCGATAGTGTTTCTTCTTTGCACTGTGTCACAAAAATTTCGAAAGTGTCTGATTGTCGTTAGTCAGTCGATGAAAAAATTGAAAAAACTCAATCATCACAATAATATTTATGTTCAGGCCTTCATCTTCAAGAGAATTCGGAAAACTTTGCAAAAATTCTATCATTTGCCACATCACAGTCCGATACGTAGACGAAGAGTGAGTGAGTGTATTTTATCATTTTTTTTCAGAAAACTTTGAACTATCTTTCCCATCTTTTTTATGCTTGTTTTTTTCGGTTCCCAACCCTAATTATAATTGCTTTAAGGATTGCACCCTTTCTTAACAGCTACTCATAGGATTTATTTCCTTCGTAAACCCTGAAAATGGATCAAGACAGTGCAGTACATCGTAAACCTGTCTTACGATTATAAGAATAATAAATCCCGTTCTAAACTCTCGCGAAAAGTTTATGATAAAGCTGATGGCCATACAAAATAGTTGATGCAAGGGTTTATTTGTGGTACGCTGTACTCTCATCAACCTTTTTTGTCCGTAGGTTTCTACAGCTAGGCAGAGAAAGATTAATTTTAGGTGAAAACTTTCGGTTTTCTAATTTGTAATTTTTCACATGTTTTCGTCCTTTAAGGCATAATCATTTTTGATTTTCAAAAAATCAAAAACTATGTCAAAATGCTCAATTTTAGTAATACCGAATAAAATATCGCTCGAACAAAAGGGATACACTTTGATGAAAAAAATGTAGAATACAGAAAGTAGGCATCTGTCTTTTCGAGGTTTTGATACTCTGTGAATTCAGCAGATTCGCACACTCTATTCTCATGCTATTACTATAATCGATCAGTTGATGAGAAATTTGTCTAATTTACTCAATAATCCGTATTACAATATGTGTGCTCTCTCTAAATTTGTCTCTTGCGCGAGATTAATCGATAATGCCACTCTGAGTTTTGAGTAATGCCAACGAAGGTTTATCACAAGTTGATGTCAATATTGACTTTATTTAACTTTCCTTCCCTCTTATTCTTCTTCTCGTTGTAGGTGTAATTCCTCATGCAAAGTACTTCAATTTCAATTATAAAATCACTGTATTATGCACTGATTTTATTGATGAGTGTTGTAATATT